TTTTTTGGAAAAAAATGAAATAAATAGTGTATTTGGGGAGAATCTCCCAAACAAACACACCCAATTGTGATTTATTTAATTGATTTAATTGTAATTTAAAATTGATTTCAAATAAAATATTGATTTAAATTTTTATTTAATTAGTATTTTAATACTCTTTCCATCATATTGAAAAGTTACCATTTTTCATTTTCGTCCGTACCAAAACAAGATTACTATTTTCTAATTTAGTAATTATACTACCTACTTAACATAATAAATATTCTTTCAATTTACAATATATTACACAAATTCTATTACTTTTATATTACACCATACTAATAGGGGTATTTTGTCTTTTTTACTACAATCAAATATAATATTAATATTAAAAAATCAATGTGCAAAAAGCAAACGCCACATTTCCAACGGGCCAGAGGGAGTATAAAATTTTATAAAAAAATGTAATATATTTTTATTAAAAATTGTATAACATGTACTCCTTCCGTCCCGCGATAGATGACCCACGTTCCATTAAAGATGACCATTTTCTATTTTTAGTAAATTTATTCATCTTAAATATATCTAACAAATATAAATCAATTTAATTAAATTTTCAACCTCTTATTTGTAGGACTCACTCAAAACCCTTTTATTTTTATCTATCTCTTCAATAAATAAATATTTTTATCTATATTTAAAACTTTTTATTTTTAATAAAATTAGTTTTATGTTAATTATAAATAAATAAATAAATTTTTAATTTATTTGTATTATATAAAATTTTATTCTTGATATCCATATTTTATATATTTTATTGATTTATAATACTAAAAATATTTAAAATACCAACAACACTACTCATATAAAAATATAAAATTATATCATAACTTATTATTAATAATTTACTAATTTATACTACATAAAATATCATACCGTGTTCTTAAGTAAATGGGTCATCTTGACCCGGATGCCGAGAGTATAATATTAATTTTAATTTAGAATATTAAAAAATAAACCCTAAATTGTTGTGTGGCGTCAAGGTCCTGGGACCTCCCAAGAATTAGTTCATATATTTTGGAGTAATTCTTGGGGAACTTGTTTTTGCTTTCCGCTCACTCAAAAGATTGCAGAGTAATAGTTTATTTCTTTTGTAAATATTTTTTATAATATATATTTAAAAAATTAATATACTATAAATATTTATTATTTTTATATTATATAATGACAGATATTTTTATATTAAAAAGATTTTTAAATCAAAATACAAAACAAACACACGAGTACTCTTTTATTTATTTATTTATTTATTTTTCATAGAGTTTAATATATATTCATAATAGTTTATAATAAATTTTTATATGCAAAAATTGTTTTTTATTATATTTTAAATTTGATATAAATAAATATAAATTTAAACATACTTATAATTTATAGTAAAATTAATACTTATTAAAAAAATAATTTATATTGAATCGGAGAAAATAAATATTTTACAATGTGAGTTTCCTTTAACAGAAGAAATAAATACATTTTATATGTTATTTCTACATTATATATTTTATATTTTAATTTTTTTTATTTAAATAAGTATTTAAATATAAAACACCATATTATATATACCCTTTGCATTAGCATATTTTGAAAGAAAGAAAAAAAAAAAAAAAGCTTATAATTAAAATAAAAAATAAATAAATAATTATGTGTGGCATGTGATGTTGGAAATAGGGCTCAAGGAAAGAATATGTTGATTTATTCTTAGTCCCTCAGTTATACAAATATATGCTCATTTGATCGGCACGAATTTTAATAAAAATGAGTAATAATAATTATTTTTTCTTTTTATAGTAAAAAAATACAAAAATATAATAATTTTTTATTTAAAAAAAAAACAAAAATATTTTTCAATGACAACACAAAAAGAAAAGTGAGCATAAATTTAAATGAGAGAATACTAAACTTTCTATTCACTCTCTCGATAAAATACGTATATGTATAATACTTTGTTTTTTTTATTATTATTTTTTTAATATGTAATTTCATAAATTACTATCAAAATATACAGAGTTTGTTTACATACCTGGCGGCTAAATTTAATCCTGAAAAGCACATCGTATGTTGTCTAATAATATACAATATTATTACAGAAAATACATTGTATATATTAATATAATATAAATATAACATATAAATTTATAGCACATGCTATAATATCATACAATACGCAACATTTGATTTTAGCATATGAGATACTCTTATACAACACACATATAATTAATTATAAACAAACAACACATGTCCATTGTATGTAATAACAACATGTGTTGTTTGTATATATTATAAAAATAAAGCACGGTGTTTAATTTTTTAAATCAGCACCGTAATCATTTTTGTTTATATATATATATATATACTTTTAAGCTTTTAGTATTATTAATTAACATCACAAAATGTACTTTTAATTAGAAAAAAGCATTTTAAAAATTTAATAAATTTATATTAGAGGGTGTTAATGACCATTTCAATTAAAAGTTTAAATTTGTAAAAGTATAGTCTTGTAGTGTTGGACACGAAATTTAAGAAATATTGATATTATATTGGTAGTTGGTAAAAAAGTAAAGATATATGACTTTTTTGCCCTTGTGAGTATATTAGTGTAAAAAGTAGTGGAAATTGTGTAATAATAATAAAAAATGTAGGGATAGTTTTATGGTGATATGATTATTTATAAATCTGATACTATTATTTTGGGACGAAAAAAAATGGTAAACAAGACTATTGTATTAGGGCGGAAGGAGTATATCATTTATATATTGATGGAAGTCAACCAATAGAGAGCAAACACACTAATAATATTTTTACCTTAAAAAAAATAAAATCCATTGATAGTTAAACAATAAGATACTATTGGATATATTATAATTTTGCATAAATATATATATATATTTATAATATATCAATCAAACTATTATTTTCAAAAAAATAAACTATACTAATTAAACAAACATCAAAATAATGTTGGCATTATTTATATATTTATTTATATAATAAAAATAAATTATATTCTTTTCGTCCACTAAAATTATATTATACAACCGATTTGAAAATATTATTTTAACATAAATATGTTTATGTTTAATATTTTTATATTTTGATTAACGAATGTATTTAATTGATAGTTTATGTATGATCCAACGCATTAGTGAAGTTGTTACCATACATATAATATTTAAGTGAATGGAAAACAAATTATTCCCTCAGTTCCACCAACCGTGTCCGGATTACCGTAGATACGAAATTAAAATAAGTATAATTAATAATATATTAATAAAAATAAGTATTCAATAATATAAATAATTGTAAATTAAAATTAAAATAACTAATTAATTTAATTAAAATAAAAAAACTATGAATTAGAAAATTTAAAATAATTATAAATTAAAATATCATATTGATACTTAAATCGAACAATTCGGTATAAATATGTTTCACAATATAAAAAAGTTATATTATCCCCGTTCGGCTCTAAGAGTCTCATTTAATTTTTGCGCGTTGATATTATATTATTATATCAAAACGTAGTACACATTAAGAAAACATTGCAAAAATACTTTCATTACTATTTTAAAATACTAATAGAAGGACATTCGTACAAAAAATTATACAAATATAAGAATATTTTTAATGTTAAGTATAATAACGTAAAAGGTAAATGTGACGTATAAAAACGAATAGAAGAAGTAATATATTTGATTTTTATTTTTTTATTTTTTTATTTTTTTATTTTTAATTTTCATCCCTAAGAAATATCATTACACAAAGATACAATGTATGGCCCTAAAGCTGCTATGTTCTTACAATGGCACATTTTATTACAGTAAAGCATTTGGATGTTTTATATATATATGTACAAATTATTGATGTTTGTTCAATTTGTGTCTTGGTTTTGTACAAAAATTTTCAACGTATATATATTTGTAGGTTTCTATGATGAGGGGAATCTATGTACAAAATTTTCAACATATAAATTGTTCTTTACCTTGTACCCGGTCCGGCCGGAATCGTAGCCGTAGATCGTAAAATAATGGACGGCTGAGATTTGATCAGCATTATTCGAAGCGAAATAAAAGATGAGAAGACGTTTTCAAGGGGAACCTTTCCCTTTTTTTTTTTAAGAACGAAGGGAGTATTAAAAACCATCTTACATATATCCACTAATTAATAAAATTTTATTATTTTTTAATCTATTATAAAAAAAATAAATACTACATATAAGGAGTATATTTTATAAATGTCTGTATAAAGATAGTAATTTAAATTAGCAAAATAATTAATAGCTATTGCACTTAAATAATTATTTTTTTTTTGTGAAAATAGTTGCATTTTATTGTTATATCCAACAAATAATTATATCTATATACTATTTAATATATAATTACAATATAAATTTCACTTTGATCTATAACTTGAGTTGAACTATACAATTCAACTTAACCTACGGTAAATTGTTTTTTTAGTCCTGTAATTGAGTCATGTAAGTGGAGCATGTCGCAAACTAATCTCATAAGTGAAAAATCTCTGTTTTAGTCCTCCGGCGCCGGAGACGCCCGCGTGGCTCGCCGGAGGTGACGTGTCCGCCAGGTGTTCCGCTAGATCAGCGACACCTGACGGACAAGTGGATTTTTTTTTAGTTTTTAATTTTTTTTAATTGAACCAAATAAATAAAAAATACAAATAAAATTTAAAATAAATTTAAAAAATGAAAAAAAATAAAAAATCCACGTGTCCGCCGGGTCAGTGACACCTTCACATCCGGCGAGCCAGACATCTCCGGCGCCGGAGGACTAAAACAGTGAAAATTTTTCACTTATAGAACTAGTTTGCGACAAGGGGTCCAGTTACAGGACTAAAAAAACAGTTTACCCTTCAACTTATTTGCGATATAGTAAAAAAAATTGAAATCAAACTTCAAAAGAAGATCATAATTTCAGTTTTCTTAAAAAGAATGAAAAAAATTATATAATCGATTCAAAAAATTGTATAGATAACTCTGATAAGTAACATCAAATTATCGTGTTACGAATTTGTCGAAATAGGTTCCTTCTATACATCGAATAAGCATCTATTTGCGAAACTTATCGATCAAACGATCAAATTTACCCGAAGGGAAGCATCTATTCGCAAAACTTACCGATCAAATTTACCCGACGGGAGACTCGACGTGTACTATAAGTGGCTGTTGGAGATTCGCAGGCGAGTCCACGCCATTGTGTGATTCGGGGTCTTCTATCGGCGATGGATCCTCGTTTTCTTGTGGATTTTCGGCCAAAACTTTCTCCAAAGTGTTCTTAGCAATTTGTGTGACACAAATCATCAAGACGACTGCAAGAAAGATAGTTTCGCGAATAAAAAAAAAAATACTGAAAATCGAGCATAATTTAATTTTGGTCGAAAGAAGAATGAACCGAAAGATAACACTAAACATAAGGCATCGTAGTTGAGTGTATCGAACCAAGATATATATATATATATGTGTGAAAAGAGTGTCATTGAAATTACCGGACACCAAAATGCCCAACACAAAGTACGTCTGCATCAAAGAAAATGTTCGCGCGTTAGAACAAGTGATTATGAATAATTACGTCGCTTGAACTTTGAAATGCTCGACTCATTCCTAAGTGACATAATGGATTTCGAGGCTATGATTTGTTCTTTTTGATGTTTCGTTGTTCCCGATACTATTCAGAATTTTACATACAAAATATCACATCTGATCACTGTTTCACCTAAAAAACAATAAAAACAAAAACTGACGAACACAAACCAAATCTTCTACGCATTCTTATATCTATCTTAGGAACTTATAGTCTACTTTATATATATATATTCGTAATTGATGTATCGGAGAAGGTGTGATACTAGTTTGAGATGTTTTGATAGAAATGTTGATAATCGACAGTTCAAAAGTAATCTTCGTGACTATTATTCCATCATTGAAATCAAGCATTTCCCCTATTTGGCAAAATGCACAACAAATTTTTTCTTTCTCTAAACTTCGACTAGAAAAGAAACAAGAACCGAAGATCTTACCAGACGGGATAGTGAAAATTCGGTATATTCATGTGTTACATCCGAGATATCCTTCAAGGTTGTCCCGACATACACCAAAGCGACGGTTATTGGCTGCGAAAAGGAACATTAATGTACAATTCCATCACCGGCGGATACTCGGACAAACTAATATCAAGAATAAAGTGTAGACGACAGTTTAGCGAAGAAAAATTCGACACAAATATTCAAAAGTAAGATCAAAGGTCTGTACAATCATGCCCAACCACGAAGCCAGTAAGTAATCAGCAAATGGGACAGGAGTCACGGATAAGAAGTAATTCAGTACGTTAAACGGAACTAAAGGTGCGAGCCTTAGCAACAACATAATCTGGTAAAAAAAAGAAAGATCAAATTAGGAAAATATCCGATTAGATCAAGAAATACGGCAGCATTGCATGGACAAGAAGGACACACACCTTAAATCCCGATCTCTCAATTGCCACGGTTATTGCATTGAAATTTGGGCAGTCCTTTAATCTGGACATAACAAACGGCCTCCCAAGCTACTCATAGTACAAACCGACAAAAGATAAGAATCAATGTCAATCGAATAGAGTTGAGGTAAAAATACATTATAAGAATCTGAAAACTTCGAAACTTTTGGATAGATCAGGTGTTTATTTCTAATTTAGCCTTATCAAGAAAATGAATAGTACAAACAATATTAAAAAGCACCTACAGTTCTTCCGAGAAGAAACGCAGCCCCGGCACCCAATGTAGCCCCAACAGAGTCGGAAATAAAACCTAAAAGCAATCCAAACAGATAGCCACCACCGAGCTGGAAGAGACAAGTAGCATAAAGGATTAAGTTCGAAACACAGACATAACCTGAGAATTTATGGATTTGTTAAGACATGCAAGAAAATGAAAAAACAAAAAAAAGGAAAAAATTGAGTGAATGAATGAATGAACTTGAAAAAACAGACGCGCATAGGAGATCTTGTAAGAATTACGATCAACTACCGGATTTCCTTCTTCGTCGCTTAAGTAGCTTAACAACAAATGTGATCACATTAATGCCAGAAACAGAAATCAGAGCAAATTAGAATCCCCAAATAAAATATAGCGAAAAGAAATTCAGTTTCCTGTCCAATATTCATAACTTTCATTAGTTAAAAAGCTTTATTTCAGAAACCTGAAACTGAAAAAGACGAAGACAATGCAGTAGATTGTACCGAAAGAACCGAAGCAGGGACTGCTAATATTGTCAAAGGAATGTACCCCACAGTCCTGCAGGTACAACCAATTATGTGTGATTCAAAATAAATTCAATTTCGATTTGAAAACTTGTATACAAAGCACAAACAATAATTACTCAATTTTACATCATTTAAGCGAATCAAAAGGCCAAAAGCAAAAAAAATAACTGGAATGTACATATATCCGTTGAAAATTTATTGTCCAATATCCGTTCCTTTAACTATAAGCTCATTTGGAGAAGCCAAATAAAATCACATAAAGCTATCCGCAGGTATTACAAAACTAACTAATCCGGATTTTAGCCGAAACCATACTTATGCAGGGGTGAAGATCAAACTAATCCTATTGACCTATTCTAATCGTTGATACGGCAAATTGTGTAATTTCCATATGATATTCATCACACACGGCGTTTAAAACACCTACTCTTTTAAGCACATTGTAAAATTTTATGACGACATTAGAACCGTACTTACAGCACTAGAGGACCCCAAGGTCCAAGATCTTCATCAATCCATGCTAAGAATCCCTTAAGCAACTGCACGAAACCATTTTGGTTCATGTTCGATTACATTTTTCATCACAAACTTTATATTATAACACAAAGCTTCCAAACCTACAATGCTTTATATTATCATCGATAATCATATATTCAGCATTAGGAATAAATATTATAACTATACACTTTGTGCCTACATAACCATTTTAACATATAATTGCGGCCTCGAACACCCTTCACTCTCTATCTTAGCTTTAATCAAAAGTTCAACATCTGGAAATTCGAAAATAATTACTGTCGAAAAAACATCGATTTACCCCACCATTATCATTGATCTGCAACCAAATCATCAATTTTTATATAAAACATTAAAACTACATTTGTAAGTGCACATTAACCAAGTAAATTAGTAATTTTCAAATTCTATTCATCACTATTTCCACCAAAAACACATCTCCTTTTTACCATCATCTGAAAACCTAAATCGTACCAAAATCAGCTGAAAAAATCTTTCAAAATTCCCCCAATTTCAGCCAATCTAAACTATGCTGACTAAACAACTAATGCTACAAACAATTTCATCACCAAAAACAGTCTAATCATACAAAAAAACCCCTAGAACGCAAATCCGACCTTTTGAACGGGGAGAGTGAAGCAAGCGATTCCGGCGGCGGCGGCGAGGAACAACACCAGTAAAGTTCTCCATAAGAAAGCCCAAGGGATTTCGAACGCCATTTCGATTGATTGAAAATCTTTGCAGATGATCAATCGCTGCAATGGCGAACAACGATTCGAATTGAATTAAAATCCGATATTTGAGTGCAATTAACGGAAAAGGAGGAACACAAACCTTGTAATCATCGAGGAAGGGGGGAAGAGTGGGAAATGCAACGGGGTTTCCACTCCATGGCGCACTCAATTGGAAGATCAAATGGTTGGATCCTTCAGTTCAATCCATGGCTGATTCGCGCGGATTCTTTCCACAATTGGTCCTAGAAAATAATAAAACATTCTTTCCTCAGGTGATTGATTTCTCGTAAAGACCATACGCACGTGACGTCACGTGCTTTTTGTCACACTAAAAAATTGAAATATTATTTTGAGATAATAATTTTAACACATTATTTAATTTTGAATATAATTTTATTTTTATATAAATAATAAAATTGAAAAAAATACAGTAACAAAACATGATTGCAATATTTTAGTGTTTACTTGATTGTAGGTTAAAATTGCTTTCAAATAAAATATTAATTTAAATATTAATTTAAATAATATTTTAATATATAATATTTTATGAAAAGGTAATATTTTTTTTTATTAATAATTGTCCCCGTTATATAACAATACTTTTTATTTTAAATAGAAAAACACACCCTTTAATAATAATAAATACTATAATATTTTGATGGTAATCTAGGTGAAATATTAGGTTTGTTCACTTTAGCAATTTTAAATGAAATAATTATGTATAAATATTATTAAAACAATACAATATACACACATTAATGACATTATATATTATATATATTTTATAAAAATAATAATTAAATACAAAATACTATTTTTTATATTATCAATATAATTCTTAGTACTTAATATAAAAAAAAAAGCACTTCCATCTAAAAAGTAAAATTGAACAAACCCTAGTATACATCACAAGTAATTACTAAATAGAAATTACATATATATATATATATATATTAAATTGATCAAAGATTTTTTTTTTTTTTTTTTTCAGAAAAAAAATCGTATAGGAATCATAGACATATTTACATATTATTTGCTCAATTGAGAAACAACATTAAAATAGAATATTATTTAAAACTTTTTTTTTTTTTTTCTCGATGACAAAAAAATCAAAACAAAACCCTCAACTTTATTACTTTTAAACTTACAAAAAAATATTACTCCAATAATCATAACAAGTAAAAAAATAAAAAAATCTAGTGGCAATTCAAGAGAAGAGTACCACAAATGTCTAATAACTAAAATTTTTCTTCTTTTTAAAAAAATCAACTAATCATAATACTACACAATCCGTGTTAAAAAAGCTCGGCTCAGTTCTGCTCGTTTCGCTCAGTGTTACCGAGCGCACACGGCGTTGATCAACACGTGGCCGAGCATTACGTCGACAAAATATTGGTGCCCGATTTGTCCATCTCGCCACTTGGCCTTAAGCGGCACCCGGCCGTAGTGCACGCCATCGTTGCACCGGTTGTCGAAGTGCCACGGGAATGTCATGTCGAAGCCGTCGATGACCCGGTCGAGAATCCCGCGCTGCCGGAGCTTCTCCAACACGACACCGTTGAACGTCTCCATCTTTTGCGGATTGAACGCCAAATGCCGGGCGTAACCCCCCGTCGCCACCGTTGTCCGGTACACGACCTCGGGGGGCTTAAGCCCCCTCGCCCTGACCCCGTCCACGACCTCGGCCCAAAACCTCGCCACGAAATCCGCCCCCCGGATGAATTTCCGGACGTTTTTCCAATACACGCCGTCGTGCAAGCCCGAGTTCATGATCACCGCGTCGGGAACGACGTCGCCGGCAAAGTACCGTCTCAACGTCTCGCGGTAATCAGCGTCGACCAACGAGTTTAGCCCTTGGTAGTTTTGCGTGTGGTTAAAATGCCCGTTGAAAATGCTCGTGAAACGTATTGTTTGCGATGGGTCGTTTGGGTTTGTTATGTTCGCGTCGAATATTCGTGGAATTGTGTCGTAAACGTGCACGCCCAACACAAACTGAAGCAGGTTACGAATCGTGTCGCAATGGTTCGAGTCACCCCACCAAAAAATCCATCGGCCGCGCAAACATTTCCACGCGTCGTCGACCGTAAACAAATTAAATGCGCAATGCGCCGAGTAGACCCAACCGTTGCTCTCGAGCGCGCCCAACGGGCCGTCGCACCACGGCGGGGCGCACGGGAGGCTCGGCTCAAGGCATCGGTACCGCCCGTCGTTTCCGACGACGCACGATTCGTTAATCGCGTGCCGCGTCCACCGCCCCGACCAAACGTCGCGGTCGAAATCTGACTTTGCGCACCGCCGAATTTCCGGCGGCGGCGGCGTGCCGCCGTTTACGACGAATGCGATACGTACGGCACGAAGAACTTTATCGACGACGAATCGAGGGGGCGAAAATTTAAGCCCCTCGTAATGCCGGAATAATAAAACGATGGTCAAATTATAGTAGCCGGCGGCGAATTCGGGGTGGACTTGCAATGAGAATGTATAGTTCCCGTCGCCGGAGTCCTTCACCGGCGGCCGGGACTTCCACTGCGGCCCCGACAAATCGAGCTCGAAATAGTCACCGCCGAGGCAATGCGGCTCGCCGGAATCATCCAACGCCTGAAAAACGAACTCATGGACTTCGCCGGCGGTCAAATTCATCGTCGTCGTCCCGTCATTGCCATCAATTCGAGGTATTCGAATGTCGGAAGTTCTCGAATCTTTACAGGGCTCACCGCCAGGGGCCAGCCAGTTTGCGAGAAGATTCGAGGAATAATTTGCCCCAAATTCCGACGGAGATTGATCGTGGATGACAAAATTGGGGGTTTTCTTGGATCGGTAATTCGAATTAGGGTTAGGGTTAGGGTTTTTGATTTGGGGCAAATTGAAGCTCTGGTGTGTGGGATGATTATGGGAATTAGGGTTTTCGATTTTGGGGCTGAAATTAGGGTTTTGGAATTGAGGATTGGAAGTGAGGTTTTTGACGACGAAATCTTGATGAAACGTGGCGAAATCGAGACCGTCGATTCCCCAAACGATCAAAACTCCAAGAAATACAGCAAGAATCAGAATCTTGAACCACCACTGAACTGTAGGGCTTGATGGCTTTAAAATCCAAAGCTTTTCAACCATTGCTGCAAAATAATTAACATAAATATAAATTTTTTTTTTTTAAAAAAACCCACAAATATTATATCTAAATTATTTTTATTTAAAATCTTGGGGTTTGCATGTTCAACATTCCAAGAATTTGAGGTGAATAATATTTTTTAAAAAAGAATAGATTTTTTCTTGGGAAAATAAAGAGGGTAATAATATTTGAAGAAACATACCTTAGTTCTTGAACTTTCTTGCAAAAATTGAATCTTGAATCTTGAATCTTTTGCAATGGAGAAGAAGATGGGTATAGATATATATGTATGTGTATGTATTGGAGAGAGAGAGAGATTTTGGTTTATGGGAGGAGAGAGAGATGTAGAGAGAGAAAGGGCAATGGCAGAAGTAGGGATGGGAGTGGAGGACAGAGACAGAATAAAGGGAGGAGGTGCAGCTGGCAACAATATTTGTATTTATTTTATTTTATTTTTATGATTTGGATTTGGATTTAGATTTTGGTGGACAATAATGCTTTTGAGAACAACTATTTTTTGAATTTTTTTAAAATGAAAGAAAAAATAAAAATGGCAGAGAGGTCACCGACAGGCAGATTAATGGAGATTGAGAGGATGAGGACGACGATGATTGGGAGGGGTATTTTTGTCTTTTCAGTTTAACGCGTCTGCATGGCCGCATCTGACGGTCAGGATTGTTTTGGAGTTCGGGCTCTGTGTATGCTTTTAAGAGTATGTTCATTATTAGTAGTACTATATCTGTTTGAGTGTTTTAATTTAAATTTTTTTGTGTAAAATTAAAAAAAAAAAATGTGAATAAATGATTGATTTATATACTCGGTCCTAAAATATAATCTTATTGTATTTGATACGAAATTTAAAAAATATTAATATTATATTGATAATTAATAAAAAGTAAAGATAAATAATTTTTTTGTCCTTATGAGTACATTAATGTAAAAAATAGTGATAATTGTGTAATAATAATGAAAAAGTATGGATAGTTTTATAATGATATGATTATTTACGAAAATAAGACTATTATTTTGAGACGGATAAAAATGATAATCAAGACTATTGTATTGAGACGACGAGAGTATTTAAAAAGATATACTCTATTGTAACTTTTGTGTAAAATTTAAAAAAAAAAAAAATTGTGAATGATTGAATTATATATATAAAGACATACTCTATCCGTCACAATACTTCATTCCACTTCTAAGGTCACATTTACTGTTATTATAATTAATATTAAAAATATTTTTATGTTTATATAATTTTTCTATAAAAATGTTCTTATATTAATATCATAAGACATCAATGAAAATATTTTTACAATTTTTTTTTAATTTGTATTACGTTTTAATATAATATTTAATATTCAAATATCAAATAGAAAAATTAAATGATAAAATACGAAAGACTAAGATGTCTTATTTTTAAAAAAATTTTAAAAAGTAGATTAGAATAATAATTATGGATAATTTAAAAAAATAGAATAATTTTGTTATAAAGCAGAGACCATGATTACTAAATAAGAAAATATGACAATTGTTTTTTTTACGTAGAAAAATGAAAAAACAAGACAACTCTTTTAGGACGGAGGAAGTAATATATATTAAAAATAAAAAATACTATCGTATACATAAAAATTTAGGAGAGTATAATTAGTAAATAATTAATAATATACTCTCCGTCCCACGTAATTTATCCATATTTTCTATTTTCTCCTGTACCACATAATTTGTCCTTTCATTTTTTGAAATTATATTTATAGACTTTAATCCTATTTTAAATTTTAAATTTTATAATTTTTTAAAACTTAATTAAACTATTTCGTTATCTTAATCTTAATTTACAATTATTTTTCCTATACCGTAATTATTTTTTCTAATGTATTTCTTAATTACATACTAATTACATTTTACCTAAATTCTCGTATCTACCGTAACATGCCTATATTACATGGGACGGAGGAGGGAGTATTAATTAAAATAATTATTGTATAATAAAAATAAATTAAAATTAAAATTAACATAACTAATTAATTTAATTAAAATTTAAAAAATTATAAATTTAAAAATTTAAAATAAAATTAAAATGTATAATTTTTTTTTAAAAAAATAAAAATAAAAAAATAAAAAGATCCAAATAGCTCAAAACTCCTTAACATAAAATCTGCAGTAAATGAATAAAACCAAAGTCAAAAGCAGCCCTAACTTTTAGACTAAAATAATAAATAAATAATTAAATAAAAGGTGCATTTTAACCAACCCCCACCACCATGTCGAGACTCACTATTAAATATTTTCAAATAATGAGATGTTATATAATATAATTTCAAACATTAATAAATAAAAAATACAAACCTATAATAATTGCCTGCACGTGACAAAAATTAATTAAATTATATCACATTGAATATACTTCTCTCCGTAATTTAAATTTATGCTTAATATTTTTTTTGGGTTGTCATCGAAAATTATTAGTAAAAAATTATTATATGTTTTATATTACTTTTTACTATAAAAAAAAATAAGAATTATTACTCATTTTTATTAATTTTTATGCCGGGTCAAATAAACACAGATTTGCATAACAGATGAAGTATTTGATAAAATAAAAAAAAAATTGTACTAGAGCCATAATTGTTTTTGTGAGTTTAGTTTATGTTTTTAAACTTGCATCTTGTTCTATTGTAATTTTAAATTAAAATAAAACTCCTTGATCTCATAAAAAGAACATATTGATATTATGTTTACTTGTGAGTTTTGATTTTGATTTTTGATTTTAAATAGTAAAATTTTGAATTGAAATAGTTGTTTAATTTGATATAAATGTGTATTGATATGATGTTTTAAATGTAAAATTAAATTTTACTACTCCCTCCGTCCCATAACAAAGTATCAATTTTTCCATTTTAGTCTGTCTCGTAACAAAGTATCTATTTTCTTTTTTAGTAACTGTACTATTTACCTAACATTACAAATACCCTTACAACTTACAATATATTACACAAATGTCATTACCTTTATATCACACATACTAATAAGGTTATTTTAGTCAGTTTTACTTTATTCCTACTATATTCCAATATAATATTAATATTTCTAAAACTACGTGAAAAAAACAAATTGATATTTACTTATGTGACGGAGGGAGTATAATAATAATAATAAAAAAAAATAGATGTTTAATTTGATATTTTTGGAGAGAAAATAAAGTTGAAATAGTAAAATCATAAAATCTTACAAGTAAACACACCAATTATACTATCCCTCTGTCCCATAATTATAGTCTGGGTTGTGTTTGACGAGATTTAAGGAATATTGATATTATATTGGTAGTAGATAAAAAGTACTGATAAAAGAATTTTTTGTCCTTGTGAGTGTATTTGTGTAAAAAGTAGTGGTCATTGTGTAATAATAATGAAAAAGTAATTGTAGTTTTACAGTGATATGATTATTTATGGAAATAAAACTATTATTTTGAGAAGAACAAAATAGTAAACAAGACTATTATATTGGGACGAAGGGAGTATTTTTTATTTATTTTTATCCGTTCCAAAACAAATATATGATTTCTTAAATTAACCGTATTACATACTTAATATAATATATACTAATACCATTACATATAATGTCATTGCTATTACATCATATTAATAGAGAATTTTGTCGTTTTAATACAAATTAATATAATATTAATATTAAAAAATCTATGTGAAAAAAATAAATGGTACTATTATTGCGGGCCGGAGGTAAAACTATTTATTCAATATAATTTTTAATAAAAATACATTTGGTTTGTTCTTTTAGGGTGTGTTTGTTTGGGGATTTGGATTTTAAATTCACTATTTATCCCTTTTCATTTTTCTTCAAAATCATCAAATCAAATATCTATTTTTTATTTTTTATATTATACTAAAAATCAATTTTATATTCAAAACATCAAATCATACAACTATTCAAATTCAAAATTTTTCCTATTCAAATTCTAACTCAAAATCCAAACCTCCAAACAAACACACCCTTAGTTTTTTTTCTTTATCCATTTTCCCAAAAAAATTAATGGCTCTGTTTATCTGTAAGATTTTAAGCCTTATTTTACTATTTCAATTTTATTTTTTCTAAAAAAACATCAAATCAAACACTCAATTTTCATTTATTTTATTACACTAAAATCTAATTTTACATTCAAAACATCACAGTACATAAAATTGTCATTTCAATTCAAAATTTTACTATTTAAAATCAAAACCTCTCAAGTAAACACACATACCTCCGACCCATAACAAAAACACTATTTGTTTTGTGCAAATAAATTTTTTAATGTTAATATTATATTAATTTGTAGTAAAAGAAAAAAATACTCGTAATAGTATGATGTAATATAAAACTAATGACATTTGCGTAATATATATTATAAATGGTAAAGATATTTATTATGTTATATAGATAGTGCAATCACTAAATTATAAAATAGTACCCTTGAGACAACAAAAATATAAAATTGTACCATTTCTATTGGACGGAGGGAGTACATAAATACACATTCATTATTTTTATATAGCCTATACAATTTTCTATATTTTACATTAAAATAAATATATTCCTTCAAATTGTTTCACAGAACAAAGACACCCATTATATTTTTTTTCAGAAAAATATTACATTTAAATTCTGGTTAAACTAAAATTCAAATCAATACTTCATTCCATTTCAAATTAAATCGAACATAAAATTTAAGAGCTCAACAAATTCCGAATCAACCTTGTGGATGGTTGATCGAAAGAATACTTTAGTTTCTCATCGACTTAATGTACATACGAAAAAAGAAAGAACCAAAGAAAGAAAAAAACAAGATCGAACTAAGTAAAGAATCCATAGAAATTCAACAACAAAAAGCTTGAAACTCGAACAACATACCGATCCTTTTTCAGCCCCGGCCGAGCTTAAAAGCCTTACTTAACTCCACGGGTCGTCCCATCCTTTCGGGCCGTCTCTTTTGATGAAATCTACGATCCCTTGGACACATTCCTCGACTCGGTTGGACAGCGAGTGGTTTCCGTATTCAATTTCGACTTTTTCCGCGCCCCCCATCGCTCGACACAATCTAGAGTCAAAAAATAGGGACAAATAAGATTGTGAGAGTTTGACATACAATTAAGGATGTAAGAATTGTTAAGGTCTGAAAGAAATATGTCTTGCCGGTCGACTAGAGCTTTCTTGTCCACGTATTCCGGGACATATTCGTCGCCCATGGAAAACATGACCTGTCAGAAACACGATTTTCCAGCAGAATTTGAGACACTATGGATGTGTTTGTTTTATATTTTAGTTTGAAGAAATTATTTTGATGTGAAGTACAGGGAATTGCGTAGATAATATAAAAATAATTAATATTTGTAGTATATTAATTTTTTTTGAAAAATGCGATGAAAGCTTTTTGGAGAAGAAAAAGAATACTATGCAAAATCGAGCTCGGCAAAAATGTAAGAATCGAAATTTATATTGTTACCAGGGTAGGTGTGTTCGACATATGTCCGAGCTTCTGTTTCAGCTGGTCTTCATTGAAGTCGGAACTGAACATGTCGTCATCGCCGTTGTAAGCACAAAGTGAATGAAATCTGCAGAGATCACAGACACAAAATCACAGCTCGTTTTACACAAATGTACCGTTTAGATGGAATCGAAGAGCTATTTTTCATTCAAATCGAAAACATTTTAAAATACATCAAAATACACCCCAAAAGTTTAATTTACGCTTTTGAATATAGGCAAAAGCCAAAGATATTGCGAGGTAAATAAGCATTCTTGGTCGAAAAAATAAGAATTTGATTTTGTTTTAGACTACATTTGTTAATTTTGACGATCAAATTTCAGTTTGAGATCAAATCGAAGAAATAATAATTAAAACTAGGCCCAAAATTGAAGAAATATTATCTAAAACGACTACTAAAAAAACAAATCTTTAATGGGATAAACATGTTACTTATATGGTGAAACACTTAAATGAAGAATGAACTTGAACTTAGAATTTCCCTGACCTGTAGGCAGTGATTGGCGAGTCGGGATTGGCTTCTTTGGGCATCAATTCCGACGCTTTACCCTCACTTATCATCTTCGAAGCTAAATCAATCATGGATGCCGTTTCAAGGAGAGTGGCTCTAAATTCGCGGTCACTCACAGGAGCCTAAAATGTCGAATAAAATGGCAAAAGAGAAGTGGAATAATGTGGTGATACGGACAAGCAAATGCCGTAAGAATTAAAATCACGGTATAATTATTGAAATAAGGCGAAAAATGGAAAGTTGAGATTACTTGTAATATGGCTGCACGAACAGCTCTCGAACAAGCTGCATTGGTCCGCAAGTAATGCACAATATCCTAAACAAATCAAAACGAATATTGTATATTTAGAAGTTATCGCTAGACTTTGTTATGTCACGGCAGAAATTATTGTTGTATTGGATAATCCGGATTTCGACAAGAATTGACCGACGATTACCTGGCATCCCGTACTGTGCCCGAGTAGGACTACACCTTCAGAATCTTCCTTGTTTATTAGGTAACTTATCAATTGATCGAGCTCCACTGAATCCTTTATCCGAGAAAACGTGGTAATTAGAATTGTTGCGAGCAAATAAAGGAATGAATCACGACTAATATTGTATGTTACAAAGCAAAGTCTAGACATAGAGCCATTTCGAATTGTTCAATGATGAAATTACAACAATAAGAGTTCACAAGCTTCATAGATGTTTTACTTTCGTTCTAATACATTTTCCAATCTCGTTTTAATTGAGAAATTAAACGTGGGCAAAGGTGCAGCGAAGAAAATTCTTTGCATCGGAAAACTGTGTAAGTATCATAATAGAACACAATGGTGACATGTTACGTATATATCCGATCACAAAAAATTAAATTAAGGCTAACAAATGTACCCTCCATCGTCATCGATATTTATGTTCATTTGACCAAGCATGATTTTAAGAAAAATGAATAAAAATATAAACTTTTTTTATATACTAAAGAAAAACTAGAAAAGGTGTAATTTTTACGTCAAAAAGCAAACGAAAATATTTTTTTCAAGATATAAATTTGCATGATAGAGAGAATAATAATGTTGAGAAAAGTACATGCGTAAATGATAATATAATAGGTTGCTCGGTAAGATTCTTGATTCATGTAGTTGAAGAAAAGAAACACTTATCGTCCCACGATATTAGATCAGCATTCCACCAATAAATGAGGAAGGGGAATCAATATTAACTTTTTCGAAATCGTAACACAGAATATGAAAACAGAATAGTTTACCTGTTTCAAACTCGAAGTGCCATATCCGCTATACGACGAAGAAAAAAGAAACTGTACTAAGGACCAACGCTCTTTATCCAAAGCAATTGCCAATGGCTCCAAATATCTACAAAGTTTGGTACCATCGATATTAAGATTACATTAATACGCGAGATACACATCTAGTCAACATTCAACTTAAGAATAATTCTTGTTTTGTAGGTTCAGTATATCAAATCTGAACTTAGACTACACCAAAAATCTAACTCAAACATGGATGCCGTGAAAGTTTTATGCATTTTTTTTTTTTTTTTTTCGGCGAAAAGCTACAAATTAGTTCATTATGTGATGTTAAGAATAAATCTAAAATATAGCACCGAACTTTAACACATCATGGAGTATCAAAGGACAGGTCCCGAGAAATCATTCATCACATTTTTAGCTTTCTTTAACATTATTTTAACTACTATCAGTATTTACTTTTCGATAATTTTTTCTACTACTGTTGTGCCTTTTTTTTGTGTGTGTTCGGTAATAGAATGAATACATCAAATTAGCATCCAATAGAAAAATTCTAGCAAAGAGAACTATTGGAGAACGATGGATAACGTACTCAGTGGCCAAAAATCCATCAGTCAGCCCACCGATAAAAATAACTTGTTGTTTATATTCACCCGTTTTAAATGCCACCTGCAATAAGAAGCAGCGATGAACGATAAACATTAAATCAGAACAAAGAAGCAATTTTTAAATTGTGTCTCACATAAAAACTTGGCAAAGAATTAGAATGATATTGACTTTCAATTTTCTGGACCAAATACTTTCCCGAAGCTGTTATGAAATATTGATTCGTGTCGATAAATAAACAAATTCATGGCACCTGAAGGCATTTAATATAGAATGATCATCAAAATCGTAGGATAACTATTCAGCTCTTTAGGCATCTCGCAAAACAATCGAAAAGTGTTCCAGCATGTCACAAATGTCTAAGCCTGTCCCAATTTCATTTTTCGAATTTGAAATTTCAAGCCAACAACTGCGATTAAGCGAATAGGGAATGAGGATCAACTTATAATTCCAAGATTTAGGTGCACACCACACACAAAACCGGGTTCACGACTAAAAAATAAAGCAAATACTACCAAGTACTTATTTCATTCCAAGTCAAACAAACAACTTCCACATTTCAATATTCTCCAAGTAACCATATATATATATATATATATAACAAAGGTAAGATAATTCATTCCGTTTTATATACGATCATTACTTAACATAATATTAGAATCAAAAGGTGTTTCGAGTGCAAAGCTTAGTTAAAACAACTACGGCTCTTTATCGACTTTTAAGTTATCCAGTTCTCGAACAATTATAAAGCATTTTCTGCCAAGACTAACACAAACTGATGCCTTAAGTTCATCTGCAACACATTTCAATTCACAATCTGCATATATATATATATATGTATATGTATTTTAACTAAAGCTGCTGCAACAACCAATGATCAAAGCAGATTCACAGCTAAATTCAAAATTTCATCACTCCATTACCAAATCAATAATAAGATCAAAATCAATCACCATGTAAATCATAGCAGCAACAATGCCACTCTCTAATTCATTTCTACAAATTTCACTTCTCAGATTCACATCTCAGTTCAACTCAAGTTGCAGAATCATATAAACCCTAAACACAACGCAAAATCAATCCAGTTTGGGAATCTCGATCACCGAATCAAAATCTTCCACCGATCGCACTCTCCAACGAAATTAAAATCAAATTCAACTCCAAACAGAAATCAACTTCAATTCGAAGCTCAAATTAAGCAAACCAAAGCCGTAAAAAACCTAGAAAAACCACAAAATATCGCGATTCAGCTTTTCCCCTCCTCACCTGAACTGCCTTGGGTCCGTACTTAAACATCACCCCGCGGAACTGACGCTTCTTGTTAATTGGTCCGATTCCACCTCCGCCGCTATCTCCGGCGGCCGCGGCGGTGGAGGAGGTGTTAGGCATCTTGGAGGCGGCACTCCGACTGCGGACAATGCCCGAAAACCAAGAAGTGGCGGTGGAGGAGGGAGTGGAGAGATTCATATCAGAGGTCTCCATTGAAGAGCAAAGAATCCATCTGCAGCTGTTCCTACTGTTTTACCAGTTTGAATTTTCATTTATTTTATTTATTTATTAGAAGGTTTTTGGCCCGTTTTGAATTTAAAACATATTATTAATAAAATTATCATTTTAATATTTACATATTAAATATTAATTAAATTTTTATGTAATGGTTATTGTTGTAATTATTTCTTATAGATTATGTAATACTCCCTCCAACCCAATCAATTGATGTGAGTGATTAGTATTTTTATTTTAATATATATATTTTTTTATATGAGATACAATAATTGGATTATTAATATAAAAAATAATATTACGTGATTAATGTTAATTATTCTTTGGATAATATAATATTCCTTCTGTCTGGCTCTAAATTTTCATTTAGTGTAGAACATTAAAAATATCATTATAATAATATTATATCAACACGCAAAAACACAAAAAATAAATGTAACTTTTAAAGTCGGATACTATATTATATATATTAAAAATTGTGTTAGATATTATAGTTTAGATGACAAAAATCAATGTATTTGGTTTTTTTTTTTTTTTTTTTTTGATAGGTTTGAAATTAATTTATTTCTTTTAAAGAAAAAAATCTATATCATTTGCATGTTATTAAAAAAACTATCTTAATCATTATATAATTTACTTTATTTATTTGTGTAAAATTATTTGTTCGTTAGTTATATTCTATTACATATATGTGTTATTTTTATTGAAAATAATCAATATATTTTTTCAAAAAATTAGTTATATATATTTATTATTTTTATATTATTTGTACACTTTATATTTCACATATAAAAAATATCCTTTCACATTATTTCACAAAACAAACTAGTTTTAGAGGAATCTTGTTAATTGTTTTTATTTTTATTTTTTTGAAAATATTAATTTAGAGAAGAATTCATATTAAATAATGATTTGAAAATTTTACTATAAAAAGTTATTTATAACCTACAATTTTAGTGATCGATCAAGAAACTAGCTGCCTAACATCACAAACAAATGACACTTAAGGGTGTTTTTGTTTGGGGGTTTGGATTTTGAGTGAGGATTTAAATAGTAAAAATTTTGAATTTGAATAGTTATATGATGTGATATAAATAGGTGTTGATGTGATGTTTTAAATGTAAAATTGATTTTTAGTATAATATAAAAAATAAAAAATAGGTATTTGATTTAATATTTTTGGAGAAAAAAATTTGAATGAATAGTGAAAAAAAAATCCAACCCCCAAACAAAACACACCCTTAATTCATTGTAATAATGAGTCGCAATAACTTAGGTGTGTTCTTTAAAGAAAATATATACTCCTTCCGTCCAGCTAGAAAGTATACATGTTTCTATTTTGGGATGTCCAATTACAAAGTAAACATTTTATTAAATACCTTACTTTTTTCCACAAATAGCTTTACTTTACATCACATCATTACTTTTACACCAAAAAGTAAGGGCAAAAATGTCATTACACTATTTTTAACTACCCACTATAATTAAAATACTATTATTTCTTAAATACCGCGCCAAAAGTAATTGTATACTTTTCTTGTGGACGGAGGGAGTATATATACTCATTTTTTTAAAAAAAAATAAAAATTTCATATGAAAAAAATATTTATTCAAATTATCTCGCAAAATTAACATATCTTTAGAATTTGTTTCTTATTAATTTAAAAATAAAATTAATATTTACCGCAATGTTTTTTAAAAAATATTAGTGGTGAGGTTTTAGAATTGGGTTTTGATTTTGAATAGTAAAATTTTGAATTGAAATGTTGTTTGATGTGATATAAATATGCGTTGATGTGATATTTTGAATGTAAAATTAGATTTTAGTGTAATAAAATAAATAAAAAGTCGGTGTTTGATTTGATATTTTTTTAGAGGAAAAAAGTTGAAATAATAAAATCAGGTGTAAAACATGACAAGTAAACACACTCTCTCATCCGCAAAATTTATTTATTTATTTATTTTTGTCCATTGCTAAATTTACCATATTACTATTTTTGGCAAAGTCAACAAATTAACGTATAACTATTATCCTTAATTCAACGCTTATTTACAAACAAATATCCCTATCTTTATTACATTCTCCATTTATTTTTATTTTTTAACTAAATTTTTAAAAATACTCCAAACTATTTTTTTTATTTTCACTTTTTCTTTAATAAAAAATGTTATAAACTTAGCCAATGGATGAGTACTATTTTCTCTCATAAAATATTACTTCCTCCGCCAGATCAGAAGAGTTTCATTTTCTATTTATTTTCATCCAAGAATAAGAAATATCCTTACAACTTACAATATATTACACAAATACCATTACTTTTACATTACACAATACAAATAGACATACTTTTATCTTTTTCACTACAAACAAATATAATACGAATATTAAAAAATTTACGTATAAAAACTAAAAATATTATTTATATTATGAAACTAAGGTAGTATATCAAAATATTAATTAAATCAAATTTAAATCACATACTCTCTCCGTCCCACATAATTTGTCCCTATTTTCTATTTTCGTCCGTCCCACATAACTTGTCATTTTTATTTTTGGAAATATAATTATGCACTTTAATCGTATTTTAAATTTTAAATTTTATAATTTTTTTTAATTTTAATTAAACTATTTATTTATCTTAATCTTAATCTATAATTATTTTTACTAATATACTTCTTAATTACTTACTAATTATACTTTACCTAAATTCCCGTATCTACGGTAATACACCTATATTACATGTGACGAAGGGAGTATTATTTTAAATTAGTTTCAAATCATAATCAAACAAACTTTTAAATATAGTCAAAAAAATAAAAAAATAAAAAGGTTTGGGCCTTAAAAATAAGTCCAAAGAGAACTTTAGGCCGGCCTGGACCCAAGTTGGTTAATAATAATAATAATAATAATACTAATAATAGATAGTCTTATAAAATGTACAAAATAAAAATATAAATAAAAAGTAACGGCCCAATACAATTTTAAATAGAATATACATGGGCCTAAACTTGGGTAGATTTGAAATAAGTCCGGGTCAACCGACCCAATTTTAAATTCAAACCATTTTGATTTTTTTTAATTAATTAAATAGTTTTTAGTAGCTATTTTACTGATTCAACAAGTTAATTTAAATATTTAATAAATTTATCTTTTGAAATAGTTTGATGGATTAAAAAATTAATTTTAAAAATATTGTATATTTAGTGTATAGGTAAGTTGTGAATTTTTATTTTTATTTATTATAAATTTAAAGTAATTGAAATTATTATTTTTTATATACGAATTATTTTATTTGTAAAATATTTAAAATTATTAAAAAAGAATAAATCTATTTGAAATTATAAATAGTAAAAAAATAAAATAATTAACAATTAACATAATAAATATATGCGAATGATTTATACTTTTATATTTTACATTATTTATAATAAAATTTATTCATATTTTTTTTATTATTAAAATATAGTATTATTTTGTCTTACAAAATATCTAAAAAATAATAAAAAGTAATTATTTAATAGTAATATTTTTATAATTCTTAATATTTATGGTGCATTTGATAATTAGTTATTAGCTGATTCAATTATAGCCGATTCAATTAGTTGATTTGACTAACTGATTTAATTAGATGCTTGTATTAAAGTATTTGATAAAACAACTGTTCGACACTAGATATTTATATGTAAAATAAATTAAGGACATTTATATGAGTACTACTTTTAAAAATATTTAATTTTGTTGATTTTGATTTAAAATTTTTGATAAATTTTGCTATTAATAATTTAAAATCATAAAAGTATTATAAAATATTTATTTCTATTTTTTAGATTTGATAAAAATATTTTTATTAAAACAAAATAATAATTTTTTATTAAAATTGTGTAAAATATAAAATAATAAATCTATCATATATATATATATTTTGTTATGTTAATTACTCTTTATTATTTTTAATGTAAAATGTATATAATAATTATATATATAAGTAATTAATACTAGTAATATTTTTCTTTTCTAGTATTTAATTTAATTTTAAAAAATTTACACATTTTACAAATAAAATAATATATATGTAATAAATAACAATAGTAATTGTTTTAAATTTAAAAAATACAATTATAAGTTAATAAATAAATATATTAAAAATAATTAATACTAAATACTACAATTAAACTATATCTATGTATGAAATAATTAATTAATTTTTAAGGGTAAATAAAAAATAAATAAAATTAAAGTTGAAAAACTCTTATAAAACGAGAGATAGATTAGCTTTTTTGAAATTGGTTTTTTTGGTAAAAAAATTATTCGAAAAAGTTAATTTATCAAACACGTTAATTTTTTTATTGATCAAGTAGCTAAAAACTGTTTAATAAGTTAAAAATTCTTGAAAAATCATTTTTCCAGACACCCTTTTAATAACAAACATTTAAAAGTGTGTTTAGCAATTAGCTGTTAACTTATTTGATTAGATGTGAGCGGTTAATTGATTTGAATAACTGATTCAATTAGTCGTTTATATTAAAATTTTTGATAAAATAAATCTTTGATATTAACGATTTAAACTTAAAATGACAATCGATTACATTTATATTGTATTTTAAAAATATTCAACTGTAATATTTTAAGTTTAGCATTTTTGTTATTGTTTATCAAATATTGTGAAAGTATTATTGATATATTTATTTTACTATTTTTAATTTTTTTTAAAGATAATATATCTTTACTAAAAAAAAGATAATAATTATTTTATTGAAAATACTATAAAATGGAGTATAAAAGAACTAGTATATCTATTTTAATTATATTAATTATTAATTGATATATATTTACAATTTTCAATAAATTTAATTATATTTATTTATTTTAATATAAAATTTATATATTTAATATATATAAATAAATTAAAAATATTTATGTTTTTTTTCCTTAATTTAATAAATTCATGTATTTTACAAAAAAAATAAAGAAATATAAAATAATTATAATTTCAATTACTTGAAATTTAAAAAATAAAATCATAATTACAAAAAATTCAAATATATTAAAATAATAAATAAAAATATATGTAAGGAAAATAATTATTGCCCAGTCCAACTTTTTTCTTCCATTATTTCTATTTTTGTCTATTCTACTTTGTCCTTTTCTTTTTGAAAATAAAATTATATACTTTAATTTTATTTTAAATATTATAATTTATAACTATTTTAATCTTAATTTATAATTATTTTTATTATATAGTAATTATTTTTACTAATACATTTTTTTTAATTTTTTTTACTAATTATACTTTACCTAAATTCTCGTATCTACGTTGACTCGGACAGAAAATATGGTACCAAAGAAGTAACTTTTAAAGGCAAATATGAAATAAATATAATTAATATAAAACGCACTGAATAATATAGTTTTTCAGAAATTAACTTTTAAATCCAACAACCAGTTAAAAAAAAACTTATTTATCAAACACTATAATTAATTTTTTTATTGATCAAACAAATAAAAACTATTAAATAAATTAAATGTTGTTCAGAAAGCTAATTACCAAATATCTGAATAAAAAAAATTCAAATTCAAATTTAAACTAAAGAAACCCCGAAAAAAATTAATTAATATATGATGACTTGCGCCCACGAATATGTATATGTATATATTAAAAATATCATTATAAAGATCACTCATTTTGGATTAACATTTCAAATTTCATTTTAGTAATTTTATCAACCATTAACTTTATTATATATATAATTATATAAGGGATACATAATAGTAATATTATTGAGAATAAATATTAGTATCTTATTTACTAATAGTAATAATATACACCAATTATAAATAATTAAATTACTGTTCACTTAAACTTTTTTTTTCCGACACAGTTTACAATATATATTTTTTATACTCTTACAAAACTTAACATTTAATATTCAATATTATTTTTTATATTACCGATATAACTTTTTATACTTCAAATAAATAAAAAAGGTTCAAATCAAAATACTAAACAAACAAACTATCTTATTTTATATTATTACCAATTCAATTATATAAACAATTTTTAATTTTCCATATAAAATCAAGTCAATATTGAAACAATATAAATATACATAATAAAAATATTTAAATTTCAAAATTTATATTGAGAATTTATGGTACATTTATTTAATAAGTAACTATTATTATTCTAACTTCAATTATCATTCAAAATTTATCCACAAATCTAAATAATATTATGGTAAGTAAATTACTTTTAGTGTCGAACAAGGCCACCCCCGAAGAAGCCGGGGACGTGCCACATCATCTGCTAGGATTCATCGATCCCGACAAGGATTTCACCGCAGAAGATTTTGTTCGATATGCGAAGCGCAAAGTGGAGGCGATAATCGAGCGGGGGAACCTCCCGATTATCGCCAGAGGTTCGAATTCCTTTTTGAGGGCACTTTTGCTAAATAATCCCTCATTTAGCTAAAAATGTGAATTTTGCCTTATTTGGATCGACGTATCCGCCGCTTTCTTACATGGTCGCCTCTCGACTAAGGTCGATCAAATGGTGCGAGAGGGTTTGGTCGACGAAGTTTAAGAATTTTTTAACCCTAACGGTGATTATTCGCGTGGGGTTCGACAAAGTTAAAGAATTTTTTAACCCTAACGAATTTTATAGGCAAGAAATGCACTTAGGCGACGAATTGAAGGTCGAGCTTCTCAAGGCGTCGATCGATCGTATCAAAGAGAATACTTATGTGTTGGCTCTTCGACAACTCGAGAATATTTTTGACCTTTGGCCTAAGTTTGGGTTAGATTTGAAATGAGTCCGGGCCAACTTGGCCTAATTTTAAACTCAGATCATTTTGGCTCGGCATGAAAAGCTGAGCTGATTAGAAATTTATTGTTTTAATTTTTAGAATATAAGGGTGTTTGGAAAATATTTCTTTTAAGAGCTTTTAACTATTTGAAAAGTTTTTACTAGTTGTTTGAATTATCGAACCGTTAATTTAAACATTTGATAAATTAGTCTTTAAAAATTATTTAATGGATTGAAAAACCAATTTTTAAAATATTATATATTCAACGTTTCAAACTAGCTAATGTATTATATTACATTATTTATTATTTATTTTCAAACTAGCTAATGTATTATATTACATTATTTATTATTTATTTTAATATATATTTTAGTAAGTTATGGTTTTAAATATATATATAAATTTAAAGTAATTGAAATTATTATATTTTATATGTGAATTATTTTATTTTTTAAATATTTAAATTTATTAAAATTAAAGAAAAATAGGAAATATTAATATTAAAGATTTACTTTATATATAATTTTTTGTTACAATTATTTTTTATTAAGAATGAATAAAATAAAATAGATTTATTTGAAATGATAATTTAGTAAAAAAACAAATTAATTAACAATTAAAATAATAAAAAATATATGAATGATTTATTTTTTTATATTTTACACTATCTCTAATTAAATTTATTAGTAATTTTTTTAATAAAAATATATTATTTTTCTTACAAAATATTCAAAAATAACAAAAGTAATTATTTAATCATAATTTTTTTTATATATAATTCTCAATATCCAATAACAAACATTTAAGGGTGGACTGGGATTAGGTGCTGAACTATAAATACAAACATAAATTGCTACAAAAATACACTCCACACGTGCTTTCCACCAAAATTTATCAAAATAAGAAATAAAAACACCTAAATTTCATGTTACATTCAATTCAAACAATGTATTCAATCCATCGGTTAAATTCAAAAACCAATTCAATTCATTGATCAAAACTAACAATTCATCCAAATTCAATTCATCAAAATCAACCGTCCATCAATCATCAGAGTCAATTTTTTGTTCCCCCCCATCTCGCTTTCGGCCACCAACGCGTTTTCTTGCGCCCATCTTAATATGAGGTATAATTTCCTATAAATAAAAAACAAGAGTATAATTGATATACTTTATTGATTTAAACTAATATCCAATTAGAAAAGAAACATCAAATACCATGTTAGAAAATGTCGAAATAAACTTGGGTTCACGGCGGATCCTGGGTTGGCCGAAGAACGGCGGTTTTCGGCAGCGATCTGGGCAAGTGGTGATTGACTATTCGGAGGAAAAAGAAGAGAGTGAGGAAGAGATAGATAGAGAAGAAGAAGAAGATGGCGGCGGCTGCTAGGGCGGGGGGGCGCTGTCGCAGCTGGACAGTGGCGATTGTCGGCGCGATTTGGTCGATCGCGAGAGAGAAAGGTGCCGAGAAGAGAGAAAGAGATATTTACGTATATACAAACCCACACTTAATTTTTTAAACTTAAAATGACGATCCTATCACTTTTCAATCTAAACCATCCAAATTTATCTATTGTTATAGACGGTCCATATTCTATCAGTATGGTGATGATTGATGCACACTGAATTCACCTCTTTTAAGGGTGTATTTTACAATTAGCTGATAGCTTTTAACCGTTAGTTTGTTTGACTAGTTGATTCAATTAAGTATTTTTATTAAAATATTTGATAAAACAAATGTTTGATCTTAGTTGTTTATACGACAATCGATGATATTTACATTGTATTTTAGAAATATCAACTGTATTATTTAAAGTTTAAATTTTTTGTTATTGGTTATCGAAAATTATGACAGTATTATTAATAAGTTTATTTTACCATTTCTAAATATTTTTGTAAAAAATAATACATTTTTACTAAAAAAATAATAACTTTTGTATTGAAAATACTAAAAATATAAAAGAACAATATTTAAGTATATCTATTTTAATTATTAATTATTAATTACTTTACTATTACAATTCAATAAATTTAATCTATTTATTTATTTTAATAGAAAATTTTATAATATACATATAAAAATAAATTAATAGTATTTATATTTTTTTTTCTTAATTTAATAAATTAATATATTTTACAAAAAAATAAGAAAAAAAAAATATATATATATATAGAACATTAATAATTTCAATTAATTGAAATTTTAAAAATAAATTTATAATTATAAAAAATTAAAATATATTAAAATAATAAATAAAAATACGTGTAAGAAAAATAATTACTCCTAATTTTTAAGGATAAATATGGAATTAAAGTGAAACACTCGGGATATAATAATTTTTCAGAAATTAATTTTGAAGTTCAACAAATTGATTGAAAAAACTTATTTATAGAATACTATAATTAATTTTTGGGCAAACTAATTTTTTTATTCCGTAACTAGACTCCTTTATCATTTTAGTCCCGTAATCGGAGGCTATTTTAAAATAGTCCCGTAAGTAAAATTTTTTCTCAATTTAGTCATCAATGCCTATGTGGCATCTGCGTGGCGGGCTGACGGACACGTGTTGGCCAGATCAGCGTCACATGGCTAACGCGTATCCGCCAGGTGGATTATTTTTATTTTTTTCAAATATAAAAAAATTACAATTATAAAAATAAAAATTAAAATTAAATATAAAATTATAAAATTAAAAATTACAAATTACAAATAAATAAAAAAAATAAAATTATTCATATGTCCGTTAAGTCAGCACTATGTGACTTTTAATAATTTATACATTAGTATATTTTTTAATTATATTTTTTATTTTTAATATAAAAATTTAAATTATTCACTCGGCGTTGATCCGATGGACATATGGATAATTTTATTTTTAAATTTTACTTTTTTGTATTCTTAGTTTTTAATTTTTATATATTTTATATATTTAGTTTTGATTTTATTTATTTTTTATTAAAAATAAAATTTAAAAAATATATATCCACGTGGCAAACACATGTCGTAGCGCTGATCTGGCTGACACGTGTCCGCCAGTCTGCCACGCGGATGCCACCTAAGCATTGAAGATTAAATTGAAAAAATTTTTCACTTACGAAACTATTTTAAGATAGTCTTAAATTACGAGACTAAAATGATAAAGGCTCAAGTTACAAAAACTAAAAAAATAGTTCATCCTTAATTCTTTTATTGGTCGAACAGTTAAAAACTCTTAAATAGATTAAAAGATTTTAAAAAACTAATTAAAACCTTCTAAAAAAATCTCAATTTCAAATTTAAACTAAACAAACCCCAAAAAAATTAATTAGTATACGGCCTCCTGCCCGCGCAAATATATATATATATATATGTATTTGTTATATTATTATAAAAATCACTCATATTGAATTAACATGGTAAAATATCATTTTTGTAATTTTATCAACCATTAACTTATTACATATATATAATTATATATAACTTATCGACAAATAATAATAGTATATTGATAATGAATATGTTAAACAAATTAGTATCTTATTTAATAATAATAATAATAATAATAATAATAATATACACCAAATATATTAAATTAATAGGTTCATTCATTCAAATTTTTTTCATGTGACACGTATTTCAATATATATATTTTATCATCTCACAAAAATCAATATTCAATATAATATTATTTTTATATTACCGATACAATTACTTCATATAAAAAAAAAAAGAAAAAAAATCAAATCAAAATACAAACAAACAACCCAGTATCTTATTTTATATTATTACCAATTCAATTTTATAAACAATTTTTAGTTTCCATATAAAATCAATTCAATATTGAAACAATATAAATATACACAATAAAAATATTTAAATTTTAAATGTTATATTGAGAATATATGGTACATTTATTTAATAAGTATCTTTTAATGTTCTAATTTCAATTATCATTCAAAATTTATCCACAAATCTAAATAATATTATGGCAAGTCAATAAATTTTATTTCAAATATATTATTTCCAAAATGTTTAATTAGATATCACCTTCCTTAATTTTATTTTTTTAAATCCTTATCCATCTTCTAATTTTAGCTAGCATAATATTATTAGGAAAATAATTTTTACACTTACTTTTTATTTTTTTTAAACTTATTTTTCATAATACAAATTTTTTGAAAAAAACTAACTATAAAAACCCTTTGGTTTTCATCAATTCTTCAAATTACTAATATATTCATTCTCTTGCAAATCATCTTCTAAATCTCCCAAAATTCTGAAAATGTAAGTACATCCTTTTATTTTATTACTTTTTTATTTTTAAAATTCTACAATTTTTATTTGAAAATAATATTTAAACTGTCGTATTTATAAAATCGACATGTTATTGATCTTTTTTCAATGTTATACACGTGTAATGTTTTTATCATTTAAATTATCTCACATTTATTAATAACTATTTTAAATTCGATTCGACTAAGTAAATAACTATATTTTAGTATATACAGAAATATATAAAATAATTATTTCGATAAAATTATAAACACATAAAAAATAGTATGCTTTTCTTTTCTTTTCTTTTTCTCTTTAAATTACGAAGTTTTCATTTGTAAATGCATATATATATATATAGGTGTACTAAGGATTTCAATGGAAGCTCGAAGGCCGGGTTGAAGAACAAGGTTGTCGTCATATTAGGCGCGACGGGGACAGGCAAGACGCGCATCTCGGTCGAATTGGCGAACCATTTTAATGGCGAGATCATTAACTCCGACAAAATACAAGTCTACAAAGGTCTCGACATAGTGTCGAACAAGGTCACCCCCGAAGAAGCCGGGGACGTGCCACATCATCTGCTAGGGTTCGTCGATCCCGACGAGGACTTCACCGCCGAAGATTTTGTTCGATACGCGATGCGCGAGGTGGAGGCGATAATCGAGCGCGGGAACCTCCCGATTATCACGGGAGGTTCGAATTCCTTTCTAAGGGCACTTTTGCTAAATGATCATTCATTTAGCGTAAAATATGAATTTTGCCTCATTTGGATCGACGTATCTGCCGCTTTCTTACATCGTCGCCTCTTGACTAGGGTCGATCAAATGGTGCGAGAGGGTTTGGTCGACGAAGTCAAAGAGTTTTTCAACCCTAACGGCGATTATTCGCGTGGGGTTCGACGAGCAATTGGGGTTCCGGAAATGGACGAATTTTATAGGCAAGAAATGCGCTTAGACGAAGAATCGAAGGTCGAGCTTCTCGAGGCGTCGATCAATCGTATCAAAGAGAATACTTATGTGTTGGCTCTTCGACAACTCGAGAATATTTTTGACCTTTGGAAAGACTTAGGATCTCCGATGATGCATCGTTTCGACGTGACCAAAGTGTTAATTGAAAATAGCACGAAAGTGGAGCGAGCTTGGGATACCTATGTGCTCGGGCCGAGCGTCGACGTCGTGACCGGGTTCTTGTCCGAGAAAAACATGGTCGAAATCGATGGCTAGTCGTTATAAGCTTAATGATATATATATATATATATATATTATCTATGAGATATGATCGATCTTTAATAAAAACTTTTGTGATACATTTTGTTGTAATAAATTTGCATACATGTTACATTGGATGCAATCTATTGTTATAAATACTATCTTGCTCTTACATTTTATTTTGTTTTGTATTTAAATTCGACAAATAAGTTCATAAATTTGAAAACTTAAAGCTATATTCTTTTTCAAGTTTAATTTTAATTTTTTTATTATTCAACTATCATAATTTTTTTTTTATTAAATATATAATTTCTTTTTATTCAAAATTAATATATTTGTTTTGCCATTTTGATTGATCCGATATCAATTTGTTCATTCCTTTTTTGGTATTTTTTTAATAAAAAATTGTAATCAATTATGGTTCCTATAAGTATTAAAAAGGATAAAATTTACATCTTATTTATTATTACAATAACGCCATAAAATAAATTTAACCACGTTACAAAACATCCAAGAATAAAATTATATATTCATCTCTTATATACACATAAAATATTAAAATTTTAAAATCTATATGTAAAAAGTAAATAAATATATTCATAGAGGACCGAGTGAGTATTTTATGTCAAAACATTACATTCAATTTACATAGTATTCATAAATAAATAAATAAATAAAATCAAATTATAAAAGAACACACTTTTATTGTTTTTTTTTTTTCAAATTTATTTTAGTAATATTCGTTTATATATAAATATTTCTTCTTTTAAAAGTGTTGTATAATTTTATTTTTTTTTTCTTTATCTAGAATAATATTGTATTTAAAATCTATTCAGATATTTTTTCTTGACTATTTCCTTACAATATGAAAAAAATGTTTGTTCAATTTATTATTTTGATGTAAAAATATATACGTTGATGAATGCTATTTCAAATAATTTAGACCAACTATTTCAAATAATCCTCAGGCCAAGTATTTTGTGTATGAATAACGAAAAAAATAGAAATTTTATTAATGTTCTTCTTGATTTTTTCCCCCATTTTTTTACTATATAATCTCATAAAAATTTTGGTAAAAATATACTCCCTCATTCCCAGATACCTGCTACACGGTAGATACGGTATTTTAGGAGGGGTGTAATTAGTAAATAATTAAGAATGTATTAGTGAAAATAATTATCTTATAATATAAATAATTATAAATTAAGATAACTAATTAATTTAATTAAAATTTTAAAAAAATTAAAAAATTTAAAATGAGATTAAAGTGTGTAATTATTTTCCAAAAAATGAGAGTGACATGGTACGTGGGACGGATAGAAACGGCAACATGGACATGGTATCTGGGACGGAGGGAGTATTATTTTACTTACAAAACATTCATATATAGTTACTATTTAAATACAAAATCAAGAACGACATTAGCTTCAAATTTAACTTTCTATCTTTATCAAATTCAAATACAAAATCAAGCACAACATAAGTTTCAAAATCGACTTTTTATCTTTATTCATGAATCATATACTCGTACTTATTGTTAGACTAAAAAATTTCATTATGTCATTATTTTCGAACATAAAATTGAAACACAACAAAACGCGTGTTCAAAACAATTGTTTGAAAAAAAAAAAGAAATAAATTAAGTTTCGTTGTATTTTTACTTACCCGAATATTTTAACAAACAAGAAGATAAACAGAGTGAGAAGAGTTTATCAAACAAATTATCGAAGCAAGGTTGCTCTTGACTTTAAAAAAGTTCGGGGTAAAAAAATATATATATATATAGGAGCCCTTAAATATATATAAAAATTATATATTGTACATATAATAAAATATAAATAATTATCTTTTCTAATATTTTTAAATGAAAAAATATCAATAATAGTAAATATTAATTTTTATCTAATATATTTTTTTTTTAATGCACAACAAAAATCTTAAAACACATATAAATGGCTCCTAAATATATATAAATGATAAATGATAACATTAACATTTCTTTTTTCATGAAAATTTCACTTGTATTAAAAGTTTACCGAAAAAAATAGTAAGAGCCGAAATTGTATTTTTAGACGAAAAAACTTGAAATATAAATAAAACAAACAAGATCTAAACTTAAATGCACGTATTGAATCGAATTGAAAAGAATGAATATAAAAATTAAAAAATATTCAAGCTCAGTCCCCTAACATAGGGGGTGAGCAAAATATCCGAAATCCAAAAATCCAATCCGAATCAAATCGAAATTTAAAATTTGGTTCGGATTTTCGGATTGGATCAGATTGAACTTTTAACGAATTTCGGATTTTCGGATCCGTATACTTAAAATTCGAACTAATCCGAAAATCCGAAATATAACATTTAATATATTTTTTTATTATACATATTTAATATTTTATTATAAAAAACTCAAATTTATTAATTATATTTTAATATATTTAATTTTTATATATTATATATTTAATATTATAAAATAACAATAAAACTTAAAAAAATTTAAAAATTAAAAAAAATAATAAAAATATTTAGAATTTCGGATTTTTCGGTTTGGTTCGAATTTTTTAGTTCGAATTACGAATTTTCGGATTTCGGATTTCGAATATTTCAGTTCGGTTCGGATTGATTTTTTCAAAATTTCGAATTTTCGAATTGGTTCGAATTTGGCAAAATCCGAACCGAAAATCCGAATGCTCACCCCTACCCTAACATACCCTCAAAATACAAAAAAGACCGTACGGAGAGGTTGATGTAACAATTTCGAACTAACTCGGCCTATTTTTATTCCTAGATATATAATTAATTTTTATTTATATATATAATATATTTAAAAATTTAATTAAAATTATTTGATAAGTCGAGGCATGCTTAGCCAGGCCTTAAAAAATTTCGAACTTATCTTTTAGGCTCAAATACTTATTCTTTGTGTTGTGTTCGAATCGAATTTGCAGGTCATATTTGTTTTTGCCGACTATTGAGATTGACGAACACGCGATGTACAGAGAGTTCTAGAAAAATTTTAAAACTCACAAGCATCGCAACATAATACTCCCTCCATTTCAGATATCATGTCCACATTGCCGTTTCTGTCCGTCCCACATACCATGTCATTTTTCTTTTTTGGAAAATAATTACACACTTTAATCTCCTTTTAAATTTTTAAATTTTATTTTTTTTAATTTTAATTAAACTAATTCGTTATCTTAATTTATAATTATTTATATTATAGAATAATTATTTTCACTAATACATTTTTAATTATCTACTAATTATACTCCTCCTAAAATACCGTGTTTACAGTGTAGCAGATGCGGTATGTGGGACGGAGGGAGTAGTATAATACACTTCTCGTCCATCGTATTTAGTTCTTTTGAGTCCATCACAAAAATTAAAAAAATAAATATTTTATTAAAAAATAGAAAAAAAAAATAATAGAGAACACTTTTGAAAATTTAGTTAGTAATTAAAAATGATGTAATAACATTAGTAGCATTTATAGTAAATAAACGTGGAATTGAAAATAACAGTTAAATATTGATTAGTTATTTTTTCAAATATAATAATAAGTAAAATTTAACGAACGTGAACAAAATTACAAATAAATTTGATGGACTAAGAAAATATATATATATATATTTACATAAAAAAAAAAAAAAAACTAACTATTTCACAATGAATAGTAGTATGAGATAGAAAATACAAAAAAAATAAAATAATATAAATTATTTTTTTAATCCCGTAACTAAATCATTTATTATTTTAGTTATGTAATTAGAGTCTTGCCACAAGCTAGTCTTGTAAGTGAATTGTTTTTTTCAATTTTAGTCCATCAACGCCGAAGATGTCTATCTAACACCTACGTGGTTTGTCAGAAACCACATGTCCACCAGGTCAGCGACACCTGGCGGACATGTGTATTTTTTTAAAAGATTATATTTATATATATATTGTAAAATTTATGTATTTTGTCTTTTTTTAAAAAAAAAAAATGGACCAAATACAAAATATACAAAAAAGAAAAAAAATTCACGTGTCCGCCATATGTCACCAATCTGGTGGGCACGTGACCTCCAGCAGAGTCACGCGGTGCCACGCGTACATCTCTGGCGCTTGAGGATTAAAATCGCAAAAAAAAATTTACTTAAAAGATTGATAACTAAAACGATAAAGAGTTTCAAATTAGAAAAATTTTTTATCCAAAAGTAAAATTCCTACATCACATATGAGATGGGTGTGACAACATCCAACCAATAAATCCCTTTCACTAAGATGAAGAAATGTAAATTTGCCCGTATTTTTTGTTATAATAATTTTTTAAATAATTTTATAAATTGTAATTAAAAATGAAAAAGAAGAAAAATTAGGTATAAAAAATGAAAGTTGCACAATTTAAAAATATTTCAAATTTAAAATAATAGTAAAAAATTAATATATATATATATAGTTGGGATTAAACTTTTATAATATTAGATGTAGATTAAAAATATAATAGTGGTAGTAATTAATTTATTATTTAATTGCATAATATATATATATATATATATATAGATATATAATAGGATAGCCACCATATATGGTAGATGGTCAAAGCAATTAGGGTTTAGGGTTGGTAGTTGGGACCATTATGGTTGTCTCAATAATTGTACTTTTCTCACTTATTTATTTATTTATTTATTTTATTTTGAATATTTTTAAATATATGTTTAAAAAAAATTAATAGATTATACTGATTATTTTTATATTATTTATATAATTATCTATATCTCATATAATTTTTATTTGTTTTCAAATTAAAAGAAAAAAAAACACACTATTAATTTTGTACGTAATAATTATTATTTTGATCGTTAAAGTATGTATAGCAATCACTTTATCTTTAGAAAATGTTCTATTTTTTTTTTTTCTATATTGTTGTTTTTATACATCCCATTTTTAGAAAATGATTAAATATTTGAATTACATTTTTAACAAAATAATTTTTAATTGTTTAAATGTTAATTAAATTAATTAATTATAAT